CTTTAAAGGTTCATACCGTCGATTCTTCTAACCAATTCCTTCAACTTAAAGACGAGGCGTTGAATTCCAGGCTGGGCAAATGTGTAAGGATCTTGCATACCGTCGAGCAGCTTCGATTACACACCAATAACAGTCAGCTTCTACGTTCGACATTTTCTCGGGGGGCAAATCGGTCATTGACCAATTATGGATACTCCCCTCTAAATATTCAGACAAGAAAACAACTAAGAAAGGTGTAACGAGGTCGTTTATTCCTTGTACGTAACCACTTGCAGGATGCCGTATAGCCCTGTCAAGAGACGAAAACAAATGATTAATTAGTTCGTAATTAAAAAAAAAAAAAAAAACGGAACATCTAATTACCAGGTATAAAGTATTCGCTCCAACGACTTCTGAATTTCGACTTGTTGAAAGAAAGAGACGTCGGGTACGGTTCTTGGACAGTCAACGGCAATCTAAACAAAACACACGATTGGTATATTTCTTTAATTAAAAAAATAATAAAAAGAAATGAAGAAAAAAAAAGACGAGAACCTGACGAAGCATGTTGATCTCTTCATCAGTGCGATCAGTGTCGGGAATATCGTAATGTTGGGCAACACAGTCGAGATACTCGAGCCTCTTCCTTCTCAGAATTCCGTCCCTTCTATCTGAATTACAGGGAGCATATCCCTGTTTTAAGTTAATCCTTAATTTTCATTAAAATTATTATTATTATTATTATTATTATTATTATTATTTTATTTTTAAAAGGAAAAAAATAGAAATACAACAACTCGATTGAACGGTGAATATGCAAGGTTGTAAATAAAAATCGATTTAGTCGTCACTCCTTTATCAATTAAAGCTGGTAACGAATTTTACTATATGCTATATAGTATCCTACGTTCCTACAGAAAATACGACAATGCAGAATAATATATCGTTCGGTGCGAAGGTTATTTTATCGAGTAAAAAATGTTATGGCAATTTCGAGGACATCTCTGATGGTAGAAATAAAAGAAATCAAGTTTGAACTTTTCGTTTCAATTTTCACGCACAAATATGTACTTGAGGTAAATAAATACGTATAGAATTTTAGTATACACCTCAGCAAGAGAAAATGTTACATTGCTGTAAGAAAAAAATATATATACATATAGTAGAAACTCGATAAACTAATAACCTCACTTAAATAATAATTTATCTCGGTCCCGACTCGGTGAAAATATGTTAAATCGTTAACTCGATAATTTTATAATTCGCTACATTAATAGAATTTCCTAGTCCCGACTGTATTAATTTATAGAGGTTCAACTGTATATATATATATATATATATATATATATATATATATATATATATATATATATATATATATATATATATATATATATATATATATATATATATATATATATATATATCTATCTATATATATATATATATCTATACAGATATACATCCATATATATATCTATCTCTCTGTCTTTATATCTCTATATC